CAAAGAAAAAGAATCTGCTCTTTGTTCTTGTCTTTAATGGTTATCCTCTTTCTTGCAGAACGTCACCAAGACCAGGAAACCGAATGCCAGAGTTAAGCCTGCGAACGAGTCTACTGTGATTTTCCCTATCCGTCAAAAGTCTATTCCAGTAAGTCTGCTGCTTAATTCGCCATGCTTTATTTTATCCTTCTGAATGCAGTTTTATGCATATCACTGTCTCGTTCTTTTTTCTCCTACTTTTCTATTCTTTTCTAGTAGTCAGGAGCGCTCAAGTGAATAGTGTTCAAGCTTCTCGATGACTCTAACTTTGAACACGTTTTTATAACTTCTGACCAAGGTTGTATCTCCTTCATTTTGTCGAGTTCCTTGGATTCCATATGATTGTGATTTTTTTTAAGCAGACTCCCTTGCTTCGTTTTCAAATTCTTTATTCAAAAACTCATTCAGTTTGCAAACGGCACGCATGTCAAGTGATTTTCGAGTTCCTTTTGTTGTTTTTGTGACATCGTCTTCCGGTCGTACTGGTAAGCATCCTTCGGACTAAGTTGCTACTGTCTTACTAAGGTTCATGTATTCGCGCACTGTTGGTTGGTTGAAGCGTTTGCTGAGGCTAAACAGTCCAATTCATGATTTGCAGATTCCACTGCAGCTTTGGCAGACGAACTGTATCTCTTGTCGCGATTTTAAAAGTTCGCAACTACCCTTATTTTTATTTTCGCCTAGAGCAAAGTGCTGTTCTCTAGCTAGGAGTGCTCTGCGCATTTCTACTCTCCAGATCTTTCTGTCTTTGGCCAGTGCCACCCACCGTCTCTAAGTTGAAGCCGGTGGATTCCATGTTCCTTTTGCACACATCCTTAAAATGAAGTCTTTGTTTACGGCATCAACGTCCGGTCATATATATTGTAAGATTGTTTAATATCTCTTGGTATCTTCATGCAAGTTATTGTAGTTACATTGTATGTCATGATGTCATATGACGTCGCACGACGCCGTTAAGTCCGCCATCTTGGATCTCACTAATTTCTCAGGAAGTTAGAAAATAACGTGAATTGGTGGGAAATTACCCAAAAATGATACCAGATCGTAAAATGGTACTAACTCTGCATGTTCCTCAAGAAAGCTTAAATTGATAAAAAACAGTATTATTCATCAATCTCGTTCCCAGAGTCTTCGTTCCCCTTGACCAGCGGTCGGAAAGCGAGAGCTCTGAGAGCAACCATTTTGAAATAACCGAAGTCTGGTGATTCTGCCCATTTGGTTTCAATGCGCAGCCTGCATCTATGGCGCATGCCTGCAACGGTTGCTCCCAGAGCTCTCGTTGTCCGACCGCTGGTCAAGGGGAACGAAGACTCTGGGAACGAGATCGCTTTAACTGTTAAAAAAACCCAGCAACAACAATAACTTCAACAAAGCAGCAGTGACGGAAATTTATAAATTACAGAACTGTCTTACAGCATGGTTTCAAATGTGTGAAAACTTTGCAACGTCGTACATGCATGGTCAACTCAGTGTAAAACTATACAGCTTATACCTTTCCTGTAACATAACGTACACATCTATCAATCATTTTCAATGGCTTCTCAGACGCGAGTTCTAGTCTGTGCGTATAATTTGTTAAATATTCTAGAAAATTGTAAATTGTTGCACTTAAAGAATTCTTCCAATGTTGATTGACTCTGTCTATTGGCTTGCATTCGCAAAAAAGTATATAATCTATTGAAGAGAGGGAGAGCAGAAATTCTATTTCCTTGGTATTTGACGTATTTACATGAATACGTGATATCGAGATAGACCAGTATACCTCTGGACTCCCGGATCCTGAACGAACGATACGCTATTGCAAAACTCCCGAAAATTCCTGTCGATTCAAACTTATCCGAAGTAATGACATATGAGAATTTACTTTGGCATAAGTTTGGCACTTTTCTGGCACTTTTAGCACGTATAACTCCCTTCCACACGTATGCACACTGCTTGTCCAAACTCAATTTTTATTTTGACCCCTAGAGATGGCATTCCTGTGTCGCGTAATTTTACTGACTGAGCTGCACAGGAAGTCGTCTAGAATATTTCACTTCATTGTCAGCATTGTCTTGCCTATTGATGTCCGCTAAGAGCTACTTAGATAAATTCTATAGAGAAATGTAACTAAATGCTCAGTTGCCGTCATTAATCACTGTAAAAACCGGTGTTGTCACAATTACGGAATGCGTAAAAGTTTTGCATCAATGAGAAAAGTTAGGTGTTCACTTCGTCGCAACTTTGTCCATGAATGAACTAATGGAGACGTAGATTTAGACAAAAAAAATGCAAATTACTTACAAATAAAATCGCAGATCGAGGTTACCTCTCTTGGAACAAGGCCTGGACGCTGTTTTTTAATGGGGAAGCTGAAATTTGGGTTTTCAAGTTCGACTTGCTGATGGAAAAAGGGCTTACCACTGCTTTAGCAAGGTCACTTTAATTTTATCAATACGATGTGGTTTGACGACGAAGCCATGATTGAAAAAAAGGTATCTTATGAACCCCATGGTACGTACGGTTATAAATAGCCTCGATACACACCGTGCAAGTTATGCTTGTAAAAGTTGTCATACCTGACAACTGCAATACTTTTTCTTTACATCCAGTGTCTTTTTGGATTAACTTTTAGTCGACTCACGTTATTTTCTGAAGAAGGTTAACAGTGTATAGTTTGTCCTCGCTGTATTCCATTCTACAATTTCGCGTTCCAGAATGAAAGATCCAAGATGGTGGACGGAATGACGTCACGACCAAAATTATAATGTCTCATCCTGTTGATCGGGTCGATAAATACAGACCAATGGACGTATCAGAGGTTTGTTATACAAATGCGACTTAAGAGTCCATTATGCCTCGTATTTACTCTTCCCCCGGCTCGTTAGCGTACCTGTTAAAACAAACAAATATATATTAAGTTTGACCGCAGACTCAAATACAGTGACATCAGGATAACGTTACTCACGGACAGAAAGTTCTTTAAAGGCACGTACGAAAACCGAAATTCAGCTGGCTGACACTAGGTACTTCCGCTGAATTGAAACAAACTCCTATCTTCTCCATCGATTACTGATGTGTATAAAAACACTGCCTCGCTCAGACCGAGAACACAACTTCGAATAATACGTCTTGTTCGGCGACAGATGTTTTTACCAAAGCAGATGCCATCGCTTGGTGCAGCGCTTTTTCACTAGTATCTGCGCTCATTGTCACAGGAAACCTGCTCACTATTGGTCTGTTTGCCATCTACAAGAAGGGTAGAAAAAACTTCTTTCTTGTAATAAATATGGCATGTGCCGATCTGATGCTAGGAGCTGTTTCCCTTCCTATTTACATTTTCAAGGCAATAATTCCAGTGTTGCGGACGAGTAAGAATTCGCCTCTTACTACTTTTCACAGCGTCTTTTCTGTCGTCTGCTTGCAAGCCTCGATAACTTTTGCGGCCTTGATTTCTTGCGAAAGACTTTACGCCACACATAGGCCCTTGAGACTGCGAACACTGTCAGGGCGAGCATACGTCGTTGTAATTTTTTTGGCGTGGACTGTAGTACTTTTGAGCTCTGCCATACTTTCCGTGTTAAGGGTTTTTGTTTCCAAGGTGGCTTACTTCTCTTTTTGGGTGCCGTACACCTTTATTCTTACATTCATTATTTGTGCTTGTGCTCTTGGCATTTGGAAAACACTTCAATTACACCGGCGTATGTCTTCAATACGACGAAACAGAGCTTTACAAAGCCGACGCCTGACAAAGACCTTGATGCTTATATCTCTTCTTGCTTTGCTGTCGTGGATCCCTATAATTGTTATGAACACATTAGAAGCTTTAAATGTCTCAGTGAACAAAAACCTTTATCACCTGGCAGTTCTCTTAAATGTGTCCAATTGTTGTGTCAATCCCGTGGTCTGCGTATTAAGAATTCCTGAATTTAAAAAGGCCCTTGGTTTCCTCCGGTGTGGAAGAAAATCAGAGATCAGGAACATGAATGCTAATGGCAGAAGAGGTAACAGGGCTTCTGTTTTGACTCCAGCAACACAGCTGAAATCAATAACAACTGATCTTGAGGTGCTGGATACCAAGCTCTGATCGTAAGAGCGACGGTCAAACTGTATCAACATGATTACACGTCGATGTCAGTGATTATTCACTAATGCCATTGATTACTCATCGACTACCCATTGATTACCCATCGACTACTTATTGGTTACAGATATATTATTACTGATTAAAAACTGGATCATCGGATAAAGCAATTCGACAATTTTCATTGGCCGGCTTAGTCGTCATGAGTTATGAGCCTTTAAACCATGCTCTAATATGGTAAGCGTAGGCGTGATTTTGGGTCGTTTTCAGTTTTATTTTATTCTAGTTTTCTATATTTTGGTGGCGTTCAGTTAATAGAACAGATAATCCTCTCTCACTTGTTGCATAGTGAGATGATGTTATTGCCAACTCATATCCAACGCGTGCTCGTGGAATATGTACAATAAAATCTTCTTCGATTTTCCGGGATTTTCTTCGTTATAATTTGCTATGGTGAGGTCTATGGTTTGTGCAGCCATGTGCCAGTGATTATGTTAATGACAATGCCTAATCAATGCAGTCAATGATTAATCGATGAAAATGTTGTGGCCTATGGATTATTCACTGATTATCCATTGATCATCGGCAATAATCAATAACTAATCAACTCATTTCCCATCGATTACCCATCGATTACTCATTGATTAAATTGATGCCAACGATTAATTACCTCTAGTTGTTGGTGCTCAGAGACAGAAGTGTATCTTTTTCATGCCTCTCATCCGTCTCCCGTAGTTCTTTCGGGCATCCTCCTAGGACATTGTATGTGCGTGTTTTAGCGTCCTCGCCGTTACTGGGCAAAGGAAAGGGTATTCACAGTAATAATAAGCAGATAATAATAATAACAATAATAGTAATAATAATAATAATAATAATAATAATAGATTTATATAAAGCTAAAATTAAAAAAATATTCTTAAGCGCTTTACAGTGTAAGATTAAGTTTACAGTAAAAATATAGAAAAATGAATTTAAAAAATAATACAGTGTAAAAAACATATTATAAGACTATGGCATGCTATACGCTAATTTTAAAAAAGTGAGTTTTTAACTTAGATTTAAAAACAGTCAGTAAATCCTAGTTTCAGATTTCATTAAGCGGTTATGGACTTTTGCCCATCGCCATTTCCATCCCAACCTCATATGTGTTTCTAGTAAACAAGTTTCAGGTTAGGTAGCGCTGATTTCTACATGTAAAGGATAGTCAGGGAAAAAGCATAAAAACGTCTTTCAAAATTCAACTTAATGCTCGATATTGAAATTTGCTTTTGTCATTCATCCTTTGTCTCTAAGTGTAAATTACTGTAAAACATTAGTCACTTAATTTAAGGTGGCTGGCAGCAGTTTCAGCACTTTTTGAGACTTAAATGTTGACGGGTCACTACAATCACTATTTATCAGTGATGCTCCGAGTGTGATGCAACAGCAACAACAACAGCAAAATTACAGTTAAATTGAAGACTGCTGATCTGCAGTGCAAGCTTTTCTTTTAGCATATTTTAGAGATCAGAATTACTATAGCCACTGGGAAGGGTTTTGGAGGTAAAGCGTTTTGAAATCTACTATAGGAAAATTCATTACCTGACTCGTGAATTCCACGTTAATAAAATTTCACTTGACAAACCGACATCGCACGAATCGCGTAAAAATTTTACTGCAGGGCAGATTGACTTGCACTTTCAAAAAGACGTGTTTGGTTTTTGGCTTCGTCGACGGCGACAATGGTTTTGAAAATATGATTAAAAGATATTGTATCTAATCGGTTTTTGAGTTGAATATACCTCGCTGAATACCTCACCTAGGTAACCAATCAGGGTGCGAGAATTCTCTGAGCTATGCGATTCTTCATGTAATTCAACATGATCTGAAAGCTTACAGAAACCAGTAGTATCACTCTAAAAAACGTTCAGATATTCTGTTCAGTGTTTGAAAGGATAAATCAGGCTCTCTGTCACTGCTGGCAAAATATGTTTTCTTTCTTTAGCTGACCAATAACGTGGACCCAAACTAAGTTTTGAACTTCGAATTCAGGTTGCAATGAACGCTCAAGAGGTAAAAATTGGGCTTTTCATTTCTCGTCACAAACTCAAACATCTCTGATTATGTTGACGCTATCAAACGAAAAGATTTTGTCTTACAGACTGAATATTCAGACCCCGTCCTCCGGTGGTGGGTGCATTTGTTAGGGAGTAAGACAAGGCTTGGGCAATCTTATGTAAAAACAGAAAAATCTTTTTAAAAACTATACGTAATCGTTAGAACATAAAAATACAGGAAGTTTCAAAATCATTTCCCACCGGAAGAGAAATGCAGTCCGTCGTCCCTTGCCAACTGCTACAGCTAATTAACTGTGAAAGTTTAAACTGACGCATGGACTGTCACTGAATATCGAGGATAAAAGGGTTTCTAATGAATATGAACATTCCGCGGTTAATAATTGATGAACTTAGATAACGGAATAAGTGAAGTCCTAGTACATACAACTTGCACTGCATGTATCTGGCTGGGGGCCTCATATGAGCCCGGTTGACCGGGCTGGCCCGGCTACCGAGAACTCGCCGAACTCAAATTTTCTTTGTTTAAAATTCGATTGTGTTCATAGGAAGAAGGCGGGCCACCCCGGTTACCGAGGTCTCGATTTTTACAACCGAGATCTCGGCAAGCGGGATGAACATCTTTCCATATGAACACACAACAAAATTCGTGCCGGTAACTGAGCCAGGCAGGCAATATGAAGAGGCCCTGGGAACCGTTGTACAGTTCAATCGAGAAATTGTTTCGTTCCTTTTTTGGCGGGAGTTTTAGAGATCATTTAGCCTGAAATATTTTCGAACGCAATGATGCCATAGCAGCTGTTCTATAAATTTGTCTTTCTCTGTGCATGGAAGAGAAAATACTTTGGGATGTTCCTAGTTGATGATATATTGCATAATTTTCTTTTCAAATTCGTGAAAACAGTAAAGGCAAGTGTCGATCTATGACTCTGATATTAATTCTCTTTTGTTTTAAACAATTCAGTTACAAAGTGCTTAGCCATATAGATTAAGTAACAGCATCTTTTTTCTTTTAACGTCTTTTGAATTAATTGCCGCGGATACGCTAAAACGTAACGCATAGCGTAATTTAATAGCGTAATATAAGACGCTAATTGTGGGTCGTTAACCAAGCGCATTGACCAAGCGTGTGTATGGCGAGGTCATTACACAACCATCATGAATTAGATTCATGGGGCAATGTATGCTCCATCTTGCCCGTTGAGTAACCAATCAGCGTAGCATTTGGTTTATGTTGGCCGCTGGCGGAGTCAGCCATGTAATAAGAGACGGTTTATTAAGGTAAGGTTACTCAGGTAAAAAAACAAAAACCCTGAAAATTAATGCAAAAGACTACCGCGTAGTAACATATGGTGGTTCTTCTCTTGAATTGGAACGCACTCCTATCATCGCTATCTCACAAGCACACAGCTATTCCTTGAAAAAGTTAGCCTTTGTCCTCGCTCAGTTTGAAAACTCAGTGAACATGGGAAGCAGTTTTGACAGCGCAACCTCGAACAATGCTTTTGCCAAAGCAGAAGTCATCGCTTGGTGCAGCGCTTTTTCACTGATATCTGTGCTCATTGTCACAGGAAACCTGCTCACTATTATTCTCTTTGCCGTCAACAAAAAAGTTAGGAAAAAGTGTTTCTTTCTGGTCGTTAATATGGCATGTGCTGATCTGCTGGTTGGGGCTGTTTCTCTGCCTATTAAGATTATAACGCCATTGTTACGGGAAGAGAGGATGAGTTTGCCAGTAGCGACTTTTCTCAACATCGTTACTGTCGTCTGCTTGCAAGCCACGATAACTTTTGCTGCCTTGATATCTTTAGAAAGAGTTTATGCCACATGTTGGCCGCTTAAATACCGAACACTGTCAGGGCAAGCATACAACGTTGTAATTATTTTGGCGTGGATTTTAGTACTTCTGAGCTCTACCATACTTTCCGTGTTGAGGGTTTTTGTTTACGAGGTAGCTTATTACTCGCTTTGGGTGACGTATACCTTTACTCTCACATTCATTATTTGCGTTTGTACTCTCGGCATATGGAGAAAATTTGAAAACCGGCGTATGCCTTCACTGACACAGCAAAACAGAGCTTTACAAAGCCGACGCTTGACAAAGACCTTGATGCTCGTATCTCTTCTTGCTTTGATGTCGTGGATCCCTATAATTATTATAAACATATTAGAAGCTACAAATGTCTCAGTAAATAAGAACATTTATCTCCTGGCGGTTCTTTTAAATGTGTCCAACTGCTGTGCCAATCCCGTTGTCTACGCATTGCGAGTTTCTGAGTTCAGAAAAGCCTTTTTTAGTTCACGGAGGATGAACGCTAATGGCGGAAGAAGTAACAGGTATTCTATCTCGACTCCAGCGACACAGCTGAAATCAACAACAACTGATCTTAAGGTGTTGGATACCAAGCTCTAATCGTAAGATTTAGGGTGAGAAACCGTACAGGAACTATACATAAAATGCGGGGACACGACAAAACAAAATCTTAAACTAAGATAAAAACTTGTTTCAAAATTTAACTTATTGTTCAATGTTAAACCTTGCTTTTAATGAGTCGTACATTTTTATTCTTGTTTTTACTTTTACAAGTGTACTTTGTTGATTCAGTTGCAGTGTTAAGTTGCAAAATAAAGAATATACCTTATACTACGAACTGTGACTCGCTATTGACTTGGCTGCCTATTGATGGACGTTAAGACAGACTTTACAACATATTTCGCCTGATTTCGTAGATACATCACGTAGAAAATCTTTTTTTTGGGGGGGGGGGGGGGGGGG